TTCTTTATTTTATCGATATCTTGATATTGCTGGTATAAATGTCCGAGTTGTTTTTATGTTCAACAATGTTGAAAATAAGGACCGAAGAAGATTATTTTTGAAAAAACTTTCCTTAGATCTTATGAAAGAGAATTTAGAAGAAAGAAGTTCTATTAAGACGCTGCCTAAAGATATTTCTGCTTATTTGGAAAACTATAAGAGAAACAATGAGATGGAACCCACTACTGTAAAACCTGGTATTTGTTTTCTTTGTGGAAAACACAAAAATAATAGAACAAAATCTACATGTAAGATATGTAAAAGAAATGCTTGCAAGAAGCACAGCAGTATAAGTATAACATGTAATGAGTGTGACGATAATGCGAATGAAAATATGGATATTAATTAACCAGATAATTTAAGTTGTTTTCTGTCTTTTCATTTCACTGTACCCTTTTATTCACTTGTAACTTTAGCGGTTTATTTTAGAGTGTATTTCAAATTAACACCGTATTTATTTCAATAAAACGTTTCATAGATAATAACCAGCTATACTGTTAATATAAATGTAATTTTTTTTTAAAAACTAAAGCATAAAGGTCAAAATTCTGAATGCAGTGCAATAGGCGCAGTGCACCCACTCATAAGAGTTGACAAGGCGCGCCCGCCGGAGGGTTAATCAAACAAATTTTACGCTCACTGAATGAAAGGAAACGGAAGAAAAGTCAAGCGAGACCTGTTGACAAGTCTCAGTACGGTTCCCTGGCTGTCGCTTCTTCTCAATGTTCGTCCACGTTTATACTAATCTTTAAAAAAAGGAACCTAATGTTACGTCCTATGGACTAATCCAATGACTTTTTAAATATTTGTCAAGAAAACTGATAAATCCACAATTTCTGCTATATTTAGGCGCTCGGTATGGGAAATGAAAACGACCAAAGATAAGTTTAATTTTTTTTTACTACTGGTGTTTTGCCGGAGACTTGGCAGCGATCTCACTTCTGATTGTAATACATGTAGTAGATCTAGATGAATCTTTTCTCTACCGTCCAATTTCAAACATGGATACCATCATGAAGATCCATAGTGGACATCTATCTAAAAACCTACAGACAGCGATGAGAAGAAACTCGCACAAATTTTTTATTTTACCTAATATCGAATGTAATTCAAAGGAAGGTAGCGTGGACCGGCGCTTTTCGAATCATTTAACCCCAGTAAGTACGCATGAAATGTCTGAAAGGCGAGAAACACTCCTGGCAAAATGATTAATGTTTCACGAGCCCTCAAGATAAACGAAAAAACGCGCTTCACGTGAAGTGCGAAAGACCGTTTATCTCATCGGTGGATCCCTATCAAAGGGATTCATCGTGGTCGATTTAGATTTTATTAAAGTGATGTTCAAGATACTTTAATCCACTAATAGCGTCCTCTCTTGGGAGCACTCTAGCGGCACTGTAGTATGAATGAATGAAAGGGCAAAGGCATTGCGATGTCGGAAGGCAGTGATGCATAGGGCGTGGGCAGTTTTATGCTTCTATGGGTGCTAGTTAACCATACCCACAGGCTGTTGAGAAAGTCTATCCGGTAACCAGAAGATACGCGAGTCACGCCGGAGACCAGACCTATTTTTATCCGACTGTATCAGAAATAGTGATATGATTTTCGCTGTGTATGTACGTATTAGGGATTTTAATCTCGCAGCTCATTCAATCCAGTGGGATTTATAGGCGGGATTCATCGATCTCGCGCAAGATCCCGCTTAATCCCGCACTATAAAGGTAACGCTATACAGGGTGACTTCGAAGTTGAGTCATTTATTTTAACAGTGAGTAGATCTGATCAAAAGAAATGTTTTTTTCCTTTACCATTTTTCTGGTAAAATTAAAGTAACAAAGTTATAGCCCTTTGGAAGTTTGAGTACCGCCCTGTCTCAATGTGCTCGTGTTTGGCGACAACGGATATAATCCGTCGTATCGGTTCATCGCATCGGAAACAAAAAAGCGAAAGAATTTGGAACGAATTATTTCATTCATTTGTATACAGTCAGTGTCAGTGAATAGTTGTATCTGTTGCGTGGCTCAAACGAAATAAAAAATGGCACATGTTTATGCGGATCGGTTTCCCAATCGAGTGCAACCAACCCCTCGTGCCTTTGTTAATGTAGTACAACGGGCTCGTGAATCAGGTGACTTAAGACCTCACAGGGGACCTCACGATCAAATACAGGTCCGCACTGAAATACTTGTCGGGAGGATACTTTATAAAACAAGGTAAAAATTTTTTTTAATTTTTATTTTATTTTTACACACATATTTTGGTTTATATTCCTTCTGCAATCATTATCTGAAAATTAATGACTCAACTTCAAAGTCACCCTGTATAACTGCGAAAGCTACAATCATTGATTAACATATTCTACCAGATTGAAAACGTTAATCACTATACGATACGAGGTCTGTCAATTAAGTGATGAGACTGGTTTCTTGAACCTTTTAATTCGAATGTAACTACAATTTAATATTGTCACCCTCAAAATAACTTCCTTGTGAAGCCTCGTAGCGCTGGAGACGGTTCTTCCACTTCTCTTTCCTACCTGTTTTGATTCTTGAAAACATTGATATTTTTGTTTTCACAATAATTGTGTTACTATAGTAACAATTTTATCAAAATTAGCAGTTATACATATCATTAGGTCCAAAAGAATAAGGACTTCTCTCACGCTCATGTAAAGACGTTAACGTTCTAGCTGCAAATTCTGCTGCACATTCTGATTTCAGCACTTTTGAGCTTTCTAAAGAGTTTTCGGACTACGTACTAAACTGCGCTGAATCTTGAAAAATAAAATTTGGGGACGTTCTCTTTCTCGTTTCTTGCTCATAACTTCGCCGCTAAAAGACCGATATGCAAAACCTACAAGGCATTTGGCACTAGTATGATAGTGGCCTTGAGTGAATTCAATCGGTACTACCGGGTTATAGAGCGGCTAAAGATCACCGGTCAGACACCGACGGAACAATGGGTACACACCAATAAATTCAAAGTAGGAAGCAAGCATAGCATTATTTGTCGCCAAACTTGTGAAGTCTTAGTGCACACCTTTGACTAATTTTTCTACCATTGCCTAAATACATCAGCGTACATTCTTTCCTCACGAAAGGGTATTCACATAATCAATCATACAAATTATATAAAAGTTTTGCAATGTGACTTAACAGACGGACGCAGGAGGCTGCATGTTACTGCATGTTGAGACATGTGCATGAGTGCATAGTAGCCGCCATCAGCACTCAGCACGCCAGTTGATTTAGTTGTTCATTCGTATTGACAGTGTAATGTGCGGATTATGACATCGTAGTTAGGTAGTGAGATAAGGGCGGTTTTACGGTATAACTTTACGCGTCGTTAAAGCATAGACCAGTGCTTAGATAAATGACGTTTGCATTAAAGAATGATTGTAGTAGATTGTAAATAGTCATACGGAAGGAACTTGTACTCCGTTCTATGGGATCGTTCGTATTTATTCGAATCTTGTCTGTAAAAATTTTGAATAACAATGATAATAATAACAACTATTATTATTATCATTAATATAATAATAATTATTATTATTCTCAATCTGTCAATAAATCAATCAATCATTGATTTATTTCTCTTACACCAAAGCAGCCGCGCAGGCAGGAACCTAAATGTCACGGCGCTACGGTTGCTATCCCCAAAGAAACCTTGTTAATCTGATTTTTGAACTGCCTAAGGTTAATAGTACTGGGAAAAACCTCTTCTTGTAGGTTGTTCAACAATCTCGACACCCCAGGGACAGATGAGCGGTCATATCAGCCAGTTCTGCATGTACGAAGTTTGGCGCAGTTAGGACGGAAGGCGGAAATTAAGCCGGTCTGTCTGGCAGGCACATCGCGAGGTTGGCATCATGGAGGAGCAAGCCAGTATAGTTATTTAGTTGTTCATTCGTATTGACAGTGTAATGTACGGATTATGACATCGTGGTCAGGCAGTGTGTTAAGGTCGGTTTTACAGTATAACTTTACTGGTCGTTGAAACATAGACCAGTGCTTAGAGAAATGATGTTTGTATTAAAGAATGATTGTAGTACAGAGAATTCCAAAGGGGCAATTTCACTCAAATGATTTTGGCGGATGGAGAAGTGTATTGTATGTGGTGGAAATTACTTCGAATGAAGTCAATGAATAAAGCTGTATTGCAAAACTTGTATAGTACCCTTTCTGCTAGCTGTACTCACGCGCAGCAGGACAAACACTACTTACTACTACGCAGGGAAGAATTAAATAAGACAAAGAGACTAAAGTAAATATTTATTAACGGTACAGTATATGAACAATCCCGCTAAGCTCGTGATTTTGGAAGATGAAAAAGACTTCATCAAACAGCAACAATGGCGAAATACCTCATAATGGAAATATTTGTATAGTGGGAAACCTTGCATGCATTCTACTCGGTTTTTCTAAATAGATGAGTATAATATGGAAATCTCTTTCTTCTTACCCTGCTTGGTTCAACAATACTATTATTTCTAAAATCAAGAAAAAGCGAAGGCTATGGAAACGGTGTAAAAGAACGCTTTTCGAAATCTTCGAAGAAACATAAAAATTAACATCGATATTGCATTTCAAAGGTATACCGCTAAAATTGAACAGGGCATAGCTACTAACCCTCAAAGATTTTGGTGTTTTATTGATTCTTTGAGAAATACTTCTCATATCCCTGATGCCATGATGTTTGATAAAACTCAACTTAACGAACCGTAAGATATTGTCAACGCTTTTGCAGATTTTTTCAAGTCCACATACTCATTTTCCACAAACTTTGCACCCGCAGACTCACTTGACTGCGCCTCATTATCGTTGTATATACCAATGATTACTGAAAAACAGGTTATTGCCGCTTTGAAAAAGATTAAACCCAAGGTACCTTCCACTCTAGATCTAATCCCTGCATGTGTACTGAAAGACTGTGCTTTTGTTTTAGCTGAACCTTCAGCTTACCTGTACAACATATCTGTTAATACTACAACATTTCCCATGGCTTGGAAAACATCTAGGATTGCTCTCATATTTAAAAAAGGCGAACGTTGTGTCATTGAGAATTATAGAGCTGTTGTGATTATAAGCAACGTCGGTAAGGTTTTCGAATGTATACTGCATGATATAATTTTCTCCCATGTTAAGCGCAAAATTTCTCCAAATCAACATGGTTTTTTCCAAGGCAGATCTACTTTAACTGATCCAGCGTGTTTTAAACAGTTTTGCTATGAAGTTGTTGATGAAGGGGGGCAAGTAGATGTTGCTTAAGTTGACTTTTCGAACGCTTTTGCTAAGCTAGATCATGGTATTTTGTTAAAGAAATTAGCTACGCGAGGGTTGACCCATCAAATGAAGTTTTTCAAATCTTATCTTACAAACAGATGCTTGAAAGTCGAATACAGGGGCTGCACCTCCACTCAGATTATACTTTCTTCTGGCATACCTCAGGGGTCTTCTCTTGGCCCTCTGCTTTTCCAAATTTTCATTGATGACGTCGTTGGAGAGCTACATAGTAGCTGCCTTCTATATGCAGATGACTTGAAGATTTTTTGTAAAATTGAAACCATGGACTACTGTAATATATTGCAAAACGTCTTGAGCAACCTAAATAAGTGGTGTCACCGTAACAAGCTGTAGCTTAATGCTAATAAATGCTTCACTATGTATATTACGCGCAAACTTGTTCCAATCAGATTCATAGACATATAACACTGATAATTCGCAACTTAACATGTGTAAAGAGTTTCATGACTTAGGTATATTCTTTGATACCAAACTTACATTTGTTTTGCATATTGATGCTGTTGTTAGCAAGGCCTACAAAACTTTGGGCTTCATTATCAGAAATTGTAGGTATTTCAATAATGTGCATACCATGATCTGGTTATATAATTAATTTGTTCGATCCAAAATTGAATACTGCTCTATAATATGGTATCCTGTTCATGAAGTTCACTCGAATAAAATTGAACGTATTCAGAGGCGGTTTGTGAAATTATATAAAATGCTTAATAATGCCATAGATTGTGGATATTTACTTGGTAAGATTCTTATCCATGTACCTAATGCTGAGACGCGATCCAATTCAAAATACTTTTACTTAAACGTAGCTAGAACCAATGCGTTGCTTTCCTCTCCGATATATATAGTATGTAACAACTATGAACGTGCAAGAATCGCAGTAGGTTAAGTCATTTGGCAATTTTAAGTTATTTTTGAACAATTTTGTCTTAAAATTGATTCCTGTGTTTCTATCCGTTAAATGGTGTAATAAACCGTTCGGATAGTGTATATACTAGTAAATAAATAAATAAATAAATTCCTGATATCATATGATTGTTAATATATAAAACAAGAAAATTTGAAAGTATTTTAATTAATTTGTTATCCATAATGCGCTTTTTGGGAGTATTGAGCTTCCTACATAGAATCTGGTGACATCAGAGTGAGGTCAAAAAATTAAATTACTACCTATAACGCGAAAATACTTCTCGCAAGGACTTTTAGATTCAAAATTGAAGTAGATAAAATTAGTTTAGTTAGATTATAGTTTCGGTTGGCACATCAGTATTAGTATCCACCAGAAGAAATGATCTGCCCCCGAAATTTAGCATTTTTCAATGTGGTTAAGAATACAATTCTGTAAACAAACCTTAGATTGGAACTGAGTCCTCACTGAAAGAAGAAGTGGAAATCGTAAATCAAAATTACCTCACAACTGTCCAGGTGAACGCCCAACGTTGTGGTACATACGTATATAACCTTTATTGATAAAAGATTTTTTTGTGTTCGCTGATTATAAAATTCGTTTCTTATTGGCATGTAAGTGAGTGTTGAGTAACAGCGTGTTTGAGAGCAAAATTCGGTGTCAAGTCTAAAGCGCTCTATACTGGGTTTGGGGAATGTTTATAAACAATTATAGCTTTCATTTATATTATTTTGAAGGAATCCATACAAGTGATATATTTCTTTTAAACTCCAACCACCACAAGGCCTAAGGCCTAAACACCCTTGCGATACCGTGGGGCTAGGAGATACAGGGCAAAAGAGGTGGGACGCTACACCGACCATATCGAGGGAACATGTGTGCATGCAACATGCATACACTCTGGGTCCGCCTACGAGATTCGCCGGGTGGTACCTCCGCGTTCGACATTCAGCGATCGTCTGCTAGCTATGCACAATCACAGCGTACATAGTCATGAAAAATATTCTCTTGGGACGGAATTCAAATCCACACCCTCATGGCGATCTGTTACGTAAGTTAAAAAGTATGTCAAGATATAATATTATGTGGAGTAAAATTATTTTGTTGAATCACTCACGTGAAATGTTTAGCTTATGTAACTTGTAAGTTTGCCAGATCAGCGGATTTGCGTTGGAGGTGCGAGATCTCAAGAGGGGCAGGGTCCTGGATTTCCGCGGTGACTCGTGTTTCAATTTCTAAAATAATGTTGCGGTATAATCCTAGTACGCTGCGGCAATGTGGTCAAATACCTCTAGCATATATATCATCAAACTACGTCAGTATCAGTTTGGCAAGGATCACCGCCAACGGTGGACGGAGTTTAAATTGCTCCGGCGGAGCATAATCGTATTTTCAGGAGTAACTGTTAAATGAAAAGTTCCTTCACGGAAGTCAGCCAGCAGAGCATCGGCAAAGATTGAAATAATGCCGGTTTTATGGAGGCAAACTCTATTGCAGTTGCAGCCACGGTAGCTTGGCGCTTGCCTTTCTTTTTCGCTCCATAAAACGCTGGCATGGCGATGAAATCATGCAAGCGGCCTTCTCTGCATACTCGCGCTCTTTACAACTTTGTATGCAGTTTGTCTGTAATATCCTGCTATTAGCATGAAGATAGGGAGGTATTTTCCGTAAAACCATTCCGCTTTAAACCTAGATTATTTAGGGAATCTCCTACAAGCTAAAAAAACTAATATTATCGCTTTATTTCGTCCGATCACAGTCGGCTAACTATGGACAGTTGTTTCTTGCTATTTGATTACTCTTCTCTTGGTCTTGGTGAACAACGAACAAAAGCTGAGCAACTCTTCTATTCACAGTATAAGGTTCATCGAAATAAGATAGCACAAAGTGCCATCTTTTACCAGAATCGACCGCTACATTGTCACCCAGGTCACCACCGTTGCCGCTAGATGCCCCCGATTCTGGTGCTATAGTTGACACGATCTGCAGGGGGATTATGTAAGAAACCTAAAGAATGTAAAAAACCGATGAAATATCATCTTGCAGCCTAGGTAGTTTTTAGTGAGCAAATAGTTCATTCCACGTTTATTCGATATGATCGCTGTTCGCTGACGTTTAAGCAACACGTACAGCTACAAAACGAGTTCACAACGAGTGTGTGTTAACATGCTTGTGCTAAGTTAATAACTTGTAGAAAAATCTACGCTATGTCACAGAAAACCTACGAAATGTCAAAAAAAAACGTCGAAATGTCACTTTTCAAGATACGTAATATATAGTCAACGCCAAACAAAGTGGCGTGCACGTCATCACGATAAAAATTCCCCGACCTAATGCCTAGGTTTCTATCACAAACAATTGCTCTATTGCAGTTTCATATTAATGTGATATATAAATTGTAAAATGGTCATTACTCTCTTATTATGGTTAATAGTCATATAAACATTGTTATTAAAATATCACATAAGTTGCTTTCTGATAAATTTAGACGCATTATGCGAAATAAAATGTTTTGCAAACGCTCCAATCACTTATCGACATGTAAACGCACTAAACCGATTTCGCAGCGTTGACACATTGTCACCTTGAAACTTATTTAAACTGGGAACTGACATTTGTATTAATTTTGACACTGAATCAATTTGTGGCATTTCAAATCTTTATAAATCCTTTGGCCCCGCAATTTTGGTATATAAAGATGCCCAAACAGTTAAATAGTCGGTGTAAGGAACTCGTGGCCTCGTTAATGCACTACTTTGAGCAAGAAAGGGACAACAACGGGCCTTTGTTGCCTTTAAATGCTGTTCAAGAGGTAGGTTACTAATAATTATATGTAATGTATATTAATAATAGTGAAATTTTATTTCATTTTTTGTAGCGTGTTGCTGCTGCTTTAAAAATTAGTTTAAGGACAGTTAGTCGTATTTCCGAGGGTGTGAAAAGTGATGCATATTTAGAAACGCCCAAGAAAAAGCGGAGTTATATTAAACGTGTAACCAACACAGCGACATTGGATACAAGTGCCATTCGAGAAGTGATCTCTATGTATCACAAAAGTAAGATCTTATTATAATAACTTATCAGAAATTTGCATTAATTTGTTAACTAAATTATAATGTCATATTACACATGGTTTCAGAAGAACAAGTTACGATACAAACTTTATGGTCTCGATTAAGAGATAGGGCATTATTTGATGGTAGTGCCACGTCTTTAAGGCGGTTGCTTAGAGATCTTGGATTTAAGTGGCTTAAGGACAATCCGCGACGAGGGCTCATGGAACTACCAAGTATAGCTTTGAAAAGGGTGGAATTTCTAAGGCAATACAATCAAGCCAAGGTTGAGGCCTTATACCAGTTTGTCTTCCTCGATGAAACTTGGATATTTCAAAATGGGACCATAGGTCGCTCTTGGCAAAATGGAAACCAAAAAAGCGTGAAAGCTATTAAAACAGATGGTAAAAGGTATGTACTTTTACACAATTTGCACTATAAAATTTAAAACTAATATATTTTAGATACATTATATTACATGCTGGAAATGAAAATGGGTTTATTGAGGGTAGTGAAGCGATATTTTCTTCGAAAACAAAATTGAGCGATTACCATGGAGAGATGAACCAGGACAATTTTTTGAAATGGTTTCAACATCAGTTATTAGAAAAATTGGAGAGTCCATCTATGATTATACTGGATAATGCCCCTTATCACAGCATGATATTGAACAAAGTGCCCAACAATGCATGGACAAAAAAAAATATCCAAGACTGAAATTGCCAAAAATAAGGAAGATATCAGGAGTAAATGGCAATCAGGAACTAATATAAATCAAAAGGAAGGTTTTGCTATAGACAAAACATGTTTTGAGTGGTTTGTGAAAGCTAGAAGTCAGAACATTCCAATCTCAGGGCCGT